ATAAGAAAAGGCTGCTAAGCTAAGGTGAGGGCTGCCAAAAGCTTTCAATCCCGGCCACTTCTGTGTGGGAGCCCTAGCTGACGGGTGTCTATTTTGGACCTGTGCTCTGGCTAGGGTGAGGGATATGTGATGGTTCTGGTGCTTGAGATCGCGCACAGCCCAAGTGTTTCGGGGCTGTGAAGGGAAGGCCATGGGAAGCCACCTGTGCTTGTGCAATAATCAGGAAGAGAAGTAGTGTTAGGTGAAGGACAAATAATAGAACCCCAAAGTTTGAGGTGATTTGAAGAGGCTGCCAGTGGATGGTAAGGGCTGCCAAATGCTTCAATTCCTGGGAACTTTTTCTTAGGAGTCATTGCTGTCAAGACTCTGTTTTGGACATGGGCTTAGGGTAGAGGTGGGTAGGGTAAGCTACAGCGGTGGTCAAGAATTAAATCTTTTGGCAGCTCTCAGCTTCCCCTGGGAGCATGTTTGCAGCCCCACCAACACTGGGGCTCTGTGCTCACTCTAGCACTTAATCCTATCCCCCACCACAACCATAAACCTAGCCAGAGCTCAGCTTCAAAAGGGGTACCTGCCAGCTAGGGCTTTCACTCAGAAATGGCCAGGAGTGAAAGCTTTTGGCAGTCCTCACCTTCCCTTGGAAGCCCATTCATTACCCCATTAACACTGGGGCTCTGCAGTTGCTCTACTGTCTAATGCTCACCTACCCCGTCAGCCTTGCCCAGAGCCCAGCTCTAAAAGAGACAGCCACCATGTAGTGCTCTGAACAGGAGTAGCCAGGACTGAAAGGTGTTGGCAGCCCTCAACTTCTCTTGGCAGCTCCTTCACAATGAAACACACACTGGGCTCTGCATTTGCTCTTACATGTAACCATCACCTACACTATGACCACAACCTTAAACTCCGGCAGCAATGGCTCTCTAGAAAAAGTGGCCAGGTCTGAAACTCTGGCAGCCCTCACCTTCCTTTGGCAGCTCCTTTGCTGTCCCACAAATACTGAGGCTCTGCTTTCCTTCGTGCACCTGTGGCTAATTCTTACCCTTGCCCTAACCCTTAACAGATCCCAGCTCCAACAGGAATGCTGCCAGCTATGGCTCTCATGAAAAAAATGACTGAAAGCTTTTGACTACCTTCATGCTCCCTTGGCTGTTCATTCACAGCCCCACAAACACTGAGGCTCTGCTCATTGTCTTCCACCTAACCCTAAACCTTATCCTGACCCTCACCCTACCCTAAGTCTATGTCCAAAGCAGAGCCTTGCCAGCAGTGATTCCCAGGAAAAAGTGTCCAGGACTGAAAACTTTGGCAGCTCATCCCTTCCTTTGCCAGTCTCTTCGCAGCCCCACAAACAGTGCGACTCTGCTCTTTGTCCTGCACCTATTTCTAAGGCCCACCTTAACCCTAGCCAGACCCCAATCTAACAGGGATGCCACCAGCTGTGGCTATCAAGAAAAACTGCCCTTTCAGCAGCCCTCACCTTCCCTTGACAGACTTTTCATGACTCTCCTAGCACTACGCTGTATGTTTTCTCTTGCATCAAACCCCAACCCTTTTCCCAACCATCACCCTGCCTTAAGCTCCAAAATGGAGCCCTGTCTGCAATGGCTGCCTGTCCTGCACCAGGTCTTAGCACTTCCAATTTTCATCAGTTCCCAATATATTCAAAAAGGGAAGATTTTATTTAAGCATTGCTTATGGAAGGACTCCAGTACAATTTTTAATAGGGTCAGAGACTCCAGTACAGAAAAATAAATTTAAAACTTCCACAACTGACATACTGAAAGTATGCATATGCAGCAAATAGTAAAATGAAAAATTATTCAGTAATCCCCAATTTGCCACGTTTCTTGGTATAGTTTGCATTCTAAAACTCAGTTCCATGCTATTTCCTCATAATCATCATTAAGGTGTTTGAGTAATTTTTTTTTTTTTTTTTTTAATTCCACAACAGAAATCAGGAGGAAGATGGGATTTTCTTCCACAGTTTCCATTTTAAATGTTATATGCCTCAATATTGCAGTCAGGGATGAGGTAAAAGACATGTGAGGGTAAAAAAGGGATAGAAAAGAAAGAGTTGACTACTGATTTCTCATATGAAGAAGTGACTACAAAGAAAAGGAGAGGACATATATATATACATACTCACAAATATACAAAGATGGAACTAATATTTCTGTAGAGATTCCAAAGATCCAAAATAAAGGAAGAAATGAAGCCGTAACACATGGCAGTACAAAAATTCCAAGAACATACTTAATTACCATTCTAATTCTCTAACTTATAAGAAAGTAGGATTCATTTTGATTTATTTTCAATGCTTATACTGCCAGTTCCTTCTTCAGTGCATGCAAAAATTATTCATTTTTGGGCAAACAAGTGTTTGCACACTCTTAAGGTCTAACATTATTTCTGATGATTTCAGGGTTAAAAATGGTATCTGCAATTCTAATGCGAGATGGAAAATGAGGAATTTAATTTCCAGGAGTTTTGACAGGTATTCTGAAAAGACAGGAGAAGCATTGTATGATTTAAGCAATCACAGCTTACAATTTTTGCTAACCAAATAAACAGCCAATGCTGCGGTTTCACAAATTAAAGCATTCAATTTGAGTTACCCTGTGACAAATTTTTATGTCCATTAATTCAAATTATTATCTTCTTCAGCATTTACTGTAGCTGAAATTAGTTTACTTAAAACAGTGTAACTTTTATTTGTTAGTGCTTTCATAGTTTATCGCTGATCACATAATTGTACAATGACAAGATAACAACAGGTTTGAATCTGCTTGCATGAATCCACAAAAGGTGCATCAATAGTGAATGTTTAGAACAGATCTCCAGATAAAAAGGGATGCTTGTTCTTTCATGTGTTGAATATATATGCTGTACCTCAAAAACGTCCTTTTTCACTGCTTTTCGAAGAGATGCAGATTGTACAGTAGGTATTTCACCTTTCTACTCTAGCACATTTTGGTTTTAGTTCCTATTCTTTAAAAGACTTTAAAGATTTGTCTCACAAGCTTTTTCACAACAGTAGAATAACAAATGATTAAATTCTAAATGACAACCTTTCCTAAAGCTAATATCATAGCGAGTGAGCAATGTTCACAAATTATACTGTGATATTTGAGCTATCAAGCCAGGAACAAACAGAAGTTTACCTAAATGAAGAGGCTGACATTATCTACTAATTTCAGACCCTCTGCAACAAGTGGTGCAATTAAAAACTGGTAGTCAAAAGGGCAAAAAGTAGTCAGTCTAACAGATGAACGAACCTGGAAAAATATAACTTTGTGCAGTTGCTCAGAGATCAATGCAACAAAAACTGTTAAAGTTAAATAATTAATGATAAGACCCTCAAAAATGTCTAATAAATTCAGCATAAAATTTCCAAGGTCACATCAGTGTTTCTGGAAATTCCATCTCTAATACACATGGTTTTGCTATCTGTTTTTTCTTTTCCATACTACTGTGCAGACACTTTATACATCAAATTGTGTACTATTATGATACATAATTTTTTTTGGTGTCATTTCTAAAGAATACTGTGAAAATAAAAAAATCTGAACTTAAATCAAATTGGAACCTTGTCTATTTTGCCTCAGACTGGTGTACTTTGTAAGATCCACTATTAATTATGTATCTGAAGTATGTTTTTGTTTCACAGCAGTTTCTCTATTTACAAATGCAGAAACCACCTACAGGTTTCCATTAAAAAAATCTACCAGGGTACTCAGCAAGCAACCTGCAAAGAAGTAACAGTTCATGTTAACTCTTTCTTTCTTTCTGACCTGAACTGTCAATATTAACCCACTCCTAAGAAACTACAACACAACTCTAAATTAAACAGCCTAAGTTTCAAATATAAAATTATGTTTAATTATTTGTGCAGATGTTTGATCTATAAATGAAAACGGTTTCAGAATAAATACTTACATCTTGCTCATAAATGCTCCAAGAAAAATAAAAATTTAGCTGAGACATGCCCTGAGCTATCTAGACTCCTTAATAGTGCAAACAGTGTTGCAGTGATGCCTGGTTTCACCCTGGCTTTTGCAAGAGAAACACAGCAATTGCCCACAGAGCTCCTAAATGGCTGATATACCACAGCATTATGCACACTACAGCAGTTCCTGTAGCTTTGCTAAGTTCCTATCCATCCACTGGATATTGAGCTGAATTGTGTCAAGTGCCTCTTTTACACAACGCAGTTGAGAACTCTCCTCTGATTTTGACTCAAAAAATGACTTCACCTGCATAGCAAGAGAAATGAAAGAAAAAAAAAAATTAAAATCAACACTGGCCACAGAAATCCAAACTTAAACCAAACTGGAACCTTATTTATTTTGCCTCAAACTGTTGTTCTTGGTAAGACTCACTACTGCTTATGTATCTGAAGTATGATTCAGTTTCACCACAGCTTGTGTATCTACAAACATGGAAACCACCTACAGGTTTGCATTTCCTACACCTGTGTTGCAGGAAATTCATTCCCGAGAATCATTTGTTATCTATGCAGTGAGCAAACCTCTGAAAGGAGTTCCCCAAACACAAGGATGGCATTTTTCATGGGAACTGCAGCAACAACTCATTGGGTTTCAATAAATCATTTCACCAATACACAGACATTCAATATTCATCATATAGCAATCACAGAGTAATGAAAGTTCTGGAAAAGGAGCCTCATTCAGTGACAAAGAACTGGGCAGAGGTGGAGAGAATGTTGCAACCACACACTTCAGTGCTCTGGAATGACCTCCACACACACTCCTCATTATAATTATCAGTGCTAACACTTAAAATACTACAGATCAAACCATAAACAACTATATCAAATAATGAAAACATTGGATTCAACTGTAAAACATTCTTGACACATTAACTTCATGGCCTCGTTAGGGAAGCCAAATAGATTTCTAATAGCTATTAACCTGCTCTTAACTGATATCTCCACAATAGCTCTTTGGGTTTGTGGACAGCAAAAATAACACAAAGCAATTTTTATGGCACTCCATCACATTCCAGAGATGCAGAAAGCATAGCTTGTTCACAAAATCCGGACCAAAATTCTATCTAGATCAAATCATTATCTTGGGAGACAGTGTGTTCTGATGAAGAGGAAAACAAAACAGTATAAACAGATAATGGGGTTCAACTCCACACACACTCCGCCACAAACTTGGTATGTGATCTTCAACATGTTTATGTATATATATTCTGTGTGTGAAATAGGGAAAGTAATAGATGTATGACCCAAGTATAGGGATTACATTTTCGTTATTTCTCAATTAAATGAAAACAGCATTGGCTTTAGAAAATATCCCTTTGATTAAGCCACCAACCTCAAGCAGATGCACCTTTGTTGCAAACTGAGAAGTTGACCAGCTGATGATATTCTGGATAGTGTATGAGCCTAGGTGAAACCTGAAATATAAACAAAAGTTATTTTTAACTAGGAAGCACTTGAAGATGAAGGTTTGGTATATGTACACATACTTATTTCTACTTTTTTGTTTCAGTAGCTGGAAATTATTAATTTTTCAAAAGATACATGGTCTTAGAAGTCCAAGCCTCTGGATCCCTAATATCTCTAAAAAATTTAACTTCAGAGCAAGAGACATGGAAAATTTTCAAACTCCTATGACAGCTCAAATAGTAAAGAATTGCGGACACCACACATTGAATAGGAAGACCTGTGTTTGTGGTATATGTTCCAGAACTCTATAATTGAATGCGCAACCAGTTTTCACTTCAAGCAAAGTAATTTTGTAATATGGATTATTAAGAGCTTGCTAGAGCAGAAGTTTTCATCCAGGCAAAGCTTTTTAACAATGTGAAACTGTTCCAAATCAAAACTAGGATTTAGAAATAGTTTTCCACATGCTGTTAGCTTTTTGAAGACTACCAGGCCAGGTCTACTGCTGGGTACCCTTCAAGGCCAGTTAAGAAATGTAATTCTAAAGCAGATGGGATTTTTTTTGCCTATTTGGTTTTAAGATTGCTGTAAAAAGGCAGAAAAAAATAAATGCTGAATGAATTCCCTGCATCTGCTTTTAAATGCAGTTGATCCATATACATACATCTTTCATCCGCAGCAATCAACTTAGAGACAGCATCCTTTTTAACAGAAATCAGATCAAGATGTTTTAGAATTACTATGAAGCTCTAGGAGGCTCCAAAGTCCCATCAACTATTGTAAGACTTCAAAGTTTATGTTCCAAGTTATATTTGTACAACCAGATTTTAAAACAGGCTTTACAATTTTAATAAAAATCCTCATTTATCAATCCAACTATTATTGTCTTGTGCTTGAAGGAAAAAAGCAGGTGCTTTTGCCAATATGAGTGTGAATTTTCAGCAACGTCAAAAGCCTTACTTTCGTGTAAGCTTTTCCCAGTTCTCTTTGACAAAGTCCCAGGCCAGCAAATATCCATGCAAACTCTGGCTAACAGTTGCTATGATATGTGAAAGCTCCTGTGCCCTGATGACTTCTCCTTCCAGGCTGTTCTGCATTAACCTAAAAGACAACACATTATGAAAAGGAACAGGAAAAAAGCTCGTATTCATATCTGAATCTATATATTAATATATTGATATCATATTAATATGTTTCTCCTGATACTCCTGAATTAGATGGAAAAGATTATATAATAGATCATGCCACAGGGGGGAAGCAGAAAGGGAATGAGGGGAAAGGGGGTGAGGTGGAAGGGGAGGCGTGCAGGGGGGGAAAAAAAAAACCAAACACCAACCAAAAAACCAAACACCCCAACACCCAAACCCCAAAAAACCACAACTAGTTATTATCTTGCTTACAAAGATACACCAGTGTTTTAAGAGGCCATAGAACAATCTGCAAATGTTAGTGTTACCACATAATCTGCAATTTTGTGTTATCAGTAGTGCAAAGCCTCTAAGTTCAGTTGTTTTCTATTTATGCGTAGTCCAAATTTGGTCTTTTGGGCTACTCTGTTATGCGTATCATTTTTAAGTGAAAAATATCAGTTTCTTCGTGTTTATGGAAGCCTGTACAAAACATGTGGATAGATTTTCTTTAGCCATCAGAATTTTTTTCAGCAATACAAAAAAGGCAATACATTTTTTCAAAGAAGATGTAAACGCTTTTGATTTATATAGCACAGAATATTTTGGCTCCTTCATACCAGATCAGCTTTCTAATATCTTCTGTGCTGGCCAGGGCTTCAATAATTTTGCTTTTCTCTGATTCAGAAACTGAAGAGGAGTACATCTTTAGGAGGAATTCCCAGCCATCACTAGATTTGGCTCCAGCTGTAAATATGGCTTTCATAACATCACTAGGCAGACTACAGGGAAAAAAAAACACCAAACACAAAACAGCAAACAAAAAGGAGACAGAAAAATGCTCATCTGAGAAAAGAAGGAAGAAGAGTCACAATATGAAGTATTAGCTTGAAAGAGATGCCTCTCTAGAGCATTTAATTCTGCAGAAACTGTAAATTTGCTGGACTGAATTCATGCCAGACTAATGCTTTAAGACACTGGGAAAAGTAAATCATATTAGTCACATGAAAGTGTTGTAGTTACTAGAACCAGGTATCTCTGGAAACAAGGTTTTCCCCTGTATACAACAGAAGACTCACTAACCTGTTCAGCATATATTGTATACAGTGATCTAGAGTTTGTTACCTGAATCTATGCTGGACCCTAATCAAAATTTGTGTTGTTAACTAGCCTCAGGTGATTTGAGTATTCATAAACGGATGTAATTTTTAATGAGTACAATAATGAAGAAAACCTCCCCAGATGTTTAAAACTTGAACACAAGTAATTGTGGGTGGTAGAGAAAACCAGGCGAGCAATCAGTTATTTTATTGTGATTTCTTCCTTGTTAATATTTTGTATTAAAGGCCCTTCATGTTTCTGAAAGGTGTGGTGGCTGTGTTAGATGCCTAAAACCCAGTTCTGCAGAATTGAAATATATACAGTATCTTGACTCAGTGTGTTGATTGGCTCTTGTACACCAAGTAGTATAACCCAGATTTGGAACAACAAAAGCACAGTAAATTGTAAATTACTCAGTAACAGATTAATTTTCTGTGGCTCATGAATCCAGAGCAGAATGAATTCTGCAAGACATAAAGGTATGCTTTGATGAGGCTATAAGTAATCCTTGAGCATGCAGTTTAGGAGATGCAGATGGAAGCCATCTGTGGTTGCTTTTGCAGTCACACTTAATGACACTTCTCCCTCTCATCCTAAAACAGCAAGTACTTCTACATGAGGAACAGTAAAAGACAGAATGAAGTGCTTTACCAATATTCAGTTGGTGGTGGTGTTGCAATGGTTTGGTGTGCCACCAAAAAAATGGTGGCAACGTAACAGGAAAAGTAGATAAAAGAAGTGGAAGTCCACTTTTTGTGGTACCTCATTGTTCCATTAGATTTCATCCACTTCGCAAACATCTCAGTGGCAGTTGCTCTACATTTTCTTATATCATGGGTGCAGGCAAAAGCTAACAGTGTTGACCGGAGCTCTCGTTCAGACAGGGTCCCATCATCTGTCCAATGCTGTTGATCAATTTTATCTCCAAGCAGGTGCTCTATTCTGTGCTAAAGAAGGAAAAACTACCAGCAATAGCTAATTCTTTCCAGGGGTATTTTCTAGATATAAAATTAGTTTAAAAAAAAAAAAGGCATAAAAACCTGTGTAAAAAGTTCCTGTAAAACTTCTGAATACATACTAAATAGAGAAAATAATTCTAGTAGTGTTTTGTTTCTTCTAAGTTTTCTTTCCACTCACTAATTACCCTTATTACTATAAAGAAAAACTTCTGATATTTCATATAGTCATTTAATAGTTTTCCTTTAAGACTAAATCCCAAACTGTTCTACAGTGTTAAGCAGGAAGGATAATTTTAAACCTGTAGAGAAGAGGCTTCATAATAAGAAGGTAAACAGAAATTATATTTCCTCAGCAAGAACCGAGGATATGATGCTGATGCCGTTGCTAAGTCTGTAGCACTGTATCATGTTAATCTATTGCACAGCTGGAATGGGACAATGACAACCATTCATGTGTTCCTATTTCTACAGAAAATAGTTCTTGGGTTTTTTCCACTACTTCTATACAAAGCAATTAGATCTATGATCTCCAGTCACTCTAAAAATTTTGTTTTCAAAATAAAAGGGTGAACATTCACAAAAACTCTAGGTTTCAGAGCCAGGTGGGCTTGTATAGTTGAATGGGGGAGAGGTGGGGATGGCACCAGGGGCAGGAGCTTGTGATCAGACAAGGTCATCAGACCTCAGTAACACCAAAATGCTCTTCAACAAAGGCAAAAGGAGTCTCAAGAGAAGAGAATGGTAAACTTCTGCTTTCGTATGTAAAGACATGAGTAATGAATGACCGACTCATCATTCACTGTAGTGGTTTCTTCTTTGTTATTATTTGCACACCGGGTGAAGAACCCCAGTCTGGGACAGCATATTTGGAAGTAACTTTTCTGTACTAGAAAAATGTCCTGGACTCTGTTTAATTACATATCTATACTATATTGACCTTTATAGACACTATAGCAAATCCCCAGACATCACTGTATTCCCACCACATGTAACTTTATAGTTACATTGGGAATGTAACTATAAAGAACATTACAACTAATTATTTCAAATAAACTAAGACATTAAGACATACCATGACTCGGGCTGCCAGTTGTTGCTCACCCTTTTTCTCTAAAAGGCTGTATATAAGACTCAGCTGAAACAAAGCTTGAGTGAGTGGTGCAGTGCTGTTCTCTTTGTTAAGGTAACCAATCAGCTCAAAGGCCTTTTCCAGAGACTCTTTTCCTAGACTACAGGTCAATGAATACAAACATTAAAATGGTTTCCAAAACAAAAGCAACTCCCTAAAACACAATCAGCAGTGATGATCTCCATTACACTAACAGAGGGATAAGTAAATAGATGGAGTAACATAAGAAACACTTCAAAGTTAGGGAATTTTTTATTACAACATTATTAAAATAACAACAAAACCACTGACATGCCTTAACAAAAATGAAAACAGGTAAGGAAGCATGGCAATGATGTCTGAAAATATTTATCATAAATTAGCGTACTCAGATATCAGAAGCAACTGCCAAAGAGGGTATCCAGAACATTCAGCCTACCTGCTCTGACAGCAGTGGTGAAAGACAAGAGAGGGAGCCAGTAAAAAATTGGGAGGCAAACACCTTAGGTCTTTAATGTGGGGCACTCACTGACAGAGTACAGGAAAACAGTCCCTTACAAAGATTTCAGACACTAAAGAAAAAAGTGTATTCCAGATACAGAAGCTATCAAGTGGCTCTTTGTGATGCAAATAAATGAATACTGCTATAAAGAACAGGGAAATAACTTTAACACAAATACGGAAGCATCACGGAAATAACTGAAAAAAATATTAGTGAATGGTAAACAGTTTCAATAGACTAATAAAGATTGAATTAAAATTCCTCTGAAGCAGTCTTGTCCAGTATTCAAGTCTGAGCTCTGACTTGCAAAAAACTTTATAGACATATTAAATGCTTTCCAATATAAAAGTCTTACCCTGCAAGGTTGAAGATATTGTTGATCAAATTGGCTCTGTCTTTAGGACTCAAAGCAGTGTGGTTTTTTTTCAACAGATCAATCAACGTTTTCCAGTCTTCAGCATAGTGTACTATGTAATAGCCATTCATATCCACATTGAATTTTATCCATTCCACCTCTTCTGGAAGTTCAATGACACCTAATGGACAGACAATCAGTAGCAGAAACAAACATTTAGCAACTGTCTGTTTAAATCCAAATCTACAAAGTAGACTCCACCAATAAATCCTTTTCCAACTGTAATCTTGAGCACAGATAATAAACCTTTAACCGAGACACAGAAATATGTATGTGTTGGTGGTTGTACGTACTTAGTGTAAGTAGCTAAACATTCTATCCTTGATGACATTTTCAGAAATGTCCGGAGTGATTAGTCGAGGAACTCCTTATCAGGTATTATGTCACACAATCACACAGAATCACAGAATGGTTTGGGTTGGAAGGGACCTTAAAGATCATCTAGTTCCAACCCCCCTGCCATGGGCAGGGACACCTTCCACTAGACCAGGTTGCTCAAAGCCCCATCCACCCTGGCCTTGAACACTTCCAGGGATGGGGCATCCACAGCTTCTCTGGGCAACCTGTCCCAGTGCTTCAACACCCTCTCCAGGAAGAACTTCGTCCTGATATCTATTCTAAACCTCCCCACTTTCAATTTAAACCCGTTACTCCTAGTCCTGAAGATTGGAATGTCCTGGGCAAAATACATAAACTATATGTACTCAGATTATCTTGCCTGTAATTTAGAATGTACGGTCAGCTTTTTGCACAAAAATTATGTCCTAAACTGAACTACCTTCATTATAATACTAAAAATCACAGCCCTTAGGTAGGAGACCCTGGCCCAAGAAAAGACCTTTGAGCATGCATTGTGTGTCTTTGCTTATGTAAGGAATATGCTAATTAAGTGACATAACCTTTATGGACTGTCTCTTGGGCTGAGAATTGTGATAAGAGTATGCATAAAGTTTGTGACTTTCTAGAAATCATTATGCTAGTCTATCATCCAAACTCGTGCAACCTGGTTAATAAAACAAATATTCTGTCTCTCGGTGTAAGATTGATTGTTGTGCACTGGAAATGAATTCACGCTTTTGTGACAACCCACCCACTAATTCGTGCTACTATGAAGAATTAGTATGTACAAAAGGTCCATGAGAAAGCTCCAAAATTGCAGGCTGTATTCCTCCTATTTCTTTCCCTGTACACTGAATGAACAGTATCACAATCTGCCCTGAGTTGTGTCTATACAGTTAATTATTTAGTGCAGTAATTCTTCTCCTTCTGTCCAGTCCTTTCAAACAATCCCGATTCCTCCCTGCTCACTCTCATATAGACAACAGTTATGCACATCATATAAAGAATGGAAGAGGGGCCCAAGAAAGCTAGTGAACATTCAAGCATTTTCTCCTCCAGGGTCAGGAGTGATGCATCCCAATAAAGAGGAAGTCAGGTAAAATCACCAGAAGGCCTGTGTGGATGAACAAGCAGCTCCTGGACAAAGTGAGGTGCAAAAAGGAAGTCTACAGTGGGTGGTAGCAGGGATAAGCAGCCTGAGAGGATTACAGGGAAGTTTTCCAACAAGGCAGGGATCAGGTTAGGAAAGTTAAAGCCTTGACAGAACTAAACCTGGCCAGGGACAACAAGGCCAGCAAGAAGGGCTTCTATAGGTACACAGGGGACAAAAGGGAAGATTACTTTATAAGGCCAAATGCAAGGTCCTGCA